TGTGCTCTTAATTGAATGGTCTCTTGTATTGATAGATGGCTACAAGAGGAGGAAAACATATTGATGCCCCCTTAGCACCCAATGAAGGTTCATTGATTTGAAGCTTGTTGTTGCTGTCCAGATTTTGTTTGAGATTAATATGCTTGAAAGGAGATTTGTTGAAGTTTGTTGTCGCTGACCAATTTTTTTGGAAACCCACTTTTTTGCACAAGAAAGGAGATCTTTGGCTATGAAGAAACCATGAGCATTGGCATCAGATATATATCTTTTGGGCTATTTTTATTTTTTAGTACTTGAAACTTGTTTGTTGAAGACAAGTTTTATGTGGAAGCTTTTTGAGATTTACTTCTTTTTGTGAAAGTCATATTGGGAAAGAATGGAAATGAAATTCGGTGATTATGGATCCTGTATGTGTTAGGTTCTTTTTTTGATTTGCTTTCATTGTTGATTTGGTGCCATTAAACGTAGTGACAATTTCAATTAGGGTAAGAAAATTTAGGATTGTACCATACATCACCATAATGGAATTTGAAATTGAACAACTAAAATTATAGCAACATGTGCTCCACGATCAGTATCAGCAATAAAAGATGGATATTGATGATATCAACTGACATGGTTAAACAAGCCGACTTAGATTTGCCAAAGATGGAACTATCTGCAAATACTGATGATGCAACCAAAGATGTTAGTAATGGCGAAAATCAAGGGAGAATCATAGACCTGTCCCGAGCTTCCAGTTCTTCATCCCCTAGTAAAACCAAAGATGTTTTCTTTTCTTTTCCCCCTAAGTCTCTTTTTCTTCCTGTTTTAATTTTCAGAGATGAAGTTTACATTGATGGTCCTCACTTCGTGGTGAATGGGAATCTGACCGTGAATTTTCAGGTGAGTTTTATAATGGTCCAAATCAGTTTCAGGTGAGTTTTATAATATCCATCGACAAACAATTTTTTTGTTTTTTAATCAAAGGGTACTTTTGGTATTTTATAAAATAATTAACACTGTTAACTGTAGTTTTGGATGGAAAATCAAATTAGGGGGTAAATGATAAAAAAACTTTAGGTAGGGGGTAAATGATTAAAAATTTCGGGGAGGGGGGTTAGTGATTCTGAAGAAACTTACAGAGGGTTTTTGAAGTTTTCCCTTGATTATATGATGGTTTTTGATAAACCATGGAATTTCTCTGGCTTTAAGGCATTTGAGAGAAATTTGAGGACTGACAGAGAAAATAGCAGTTTGCTGTTTTTGGATCACATTGGCATGCTATTTTCTTGCTACACTCTACACTAATAACTAGTCGACGGAGTCAAGTAACATTTGTGACCATGGAAGGTCATATATCGGTAAGGGTATAATCACCGCCTGATTCAATGTTATTTGATTTTAGTTGGATGGAGTCATATTCAGATATCGCACCTTCACTACAAGAAAAGCTCTATTTAACCACAATTTTTTAACCACATTGAAATAAATGTGGCATAATTTTATAAAATATCCAATTTTACTACATACTAACAAAAATGTCGCAAAATAAGGCCCAACCCATCTCTTTCTTCATTTCATAATTTCATAGTAATAGAAAGCCCGACCCAATCTATGTATTTCTCAAATTTTGCAGTCACTCATTTTTATTTTCTCTCATATGTCTAGCACCGACACCAAACACCACGAGAAAGAGGAGAATCGCCGGAGAGGACGTGGATACCGGAGCTCAAGTGGCTCCGATCGTAAAGCTCAATAAGGTTCTTGTATCCATCGGCAGAGAGAACGAAGATCCAATTTTCGATTTGTGCACATTCTCTCTCTCAACTTCTTCTTCTTTGAGATAAATCTGTAGGGTTTTTGCTTGATTTGTGTTTTTTTCCAGTTGAATGATGTGGATTAGGCAAGGTCAAGATTGGAATCAACAGTAACTTATCTCCTTCGTTCGATCTCGCTTCTCTTCCTTCAGATTTTCTTATTTATCTTTTTACTATTTTATTTATTTTTGTTTTTTTATGTAACTGGATTTGGAAGAATCGGCTTTTTGGTGGCCAAGGTTGCTCTGTCGATAGACGATGTTGAACTCGTTGCAGTTAACGATCCTTTCAAGTCCACTGATTACATGGTAAGTCAACCTCTTACCTTTAATCTTTATTCACCTTCAGTAACTAAGCAAAATAATTTATTTCATTTCATTTTAATCAGCGTTACATTTTTTTTTGTTTATTTAAATTGTAGATCTAACTCCTAATGGTTATCGTTTTTGCTGAAAACACATTAGAGGCGTAATCTCATTCTACTTTGTAAAAAGATATTCCTATTCTTTTTTCTTCAGAATCACTGCTCTTTATATTTCATTTTTCATATGATTGATTGCGCAGGTCTATTAAATTTGATATTTTAAACTTTCAGGTTGGATCATCCTCACGAGGATCAATATATATTTGCCACACACCCGAGTGCCATGAGGGTAACTTCTATATTCTGGCATATGGCTTTGTTTAACCAGATTCTTCCAAAGTTGCAATACCCTTATGACCTTTCATCTTCTTTTTTAATTTTAGCTTGGATATGGTTGCAGTTGAGCTTTTAATATGGTGAGTGCATGGTTGTCTTCTTGCTTCGATTGGAGTGATTTTCATTTTAGCTTTCGTTTTACACGAGGTTCCATGAGCATTGAGCGTTCTTCAAAAGTTTTTAATTGAATATTGATTCGGTTTGGCAAGCCTTGGTTCAACTGTGTGGTAGAAAATATCTCTGATATTTTAGTGTGTACAGTCATTTAGTGCTCTAATCAACTAATTTCGGAGTTGAATTATCTTGTAATTACTGTAAATAATTCTGTACTAGTATAAATATATTCTTGTAAAAAATCCAAGCATACTTTCTCCATTTTCTAGTGTAAGGCTGCTGCCATGGGACCTGGTGGTCATATATTCTGGTCACTGAAACAGCCTCTACATTTGTGGGGTTGGGGTAAGGATATGCACATCTAACCCTCTGAAGACCCCACGATGGTGGGAGCCTCATGCACGGAGCTACCAAAAAAAATGATTTGGCTTCTATATGAATCATCTGATTCAATTAATACTTTGCCAAAGATGTTGTTACATAGGGCTCATTTTAGTCTTTAATATGTCAAATGTTAAATGCAGAACATCATCAATTAATCGTTTCCATCATTTACTCTCTGCAGTTACTATGAAGGAAAACTTACTCCTATCCCTGAGATTGATGTTGAAGATGAAGAGCAGGCTCCTCGAGTTAGAGTTACAAAAGCTGCAGAGAACGTATGTTACTTCTAAAGTCCCTTTTTGGAACAGGTTTAGATAGTTCTGTTTGTTTAAGTGTCACATAGAGGAGGGGAAAGCCCTATACATTGTGTATTTGGGATGTATTTCTTCTATGTAAAATTTCTGTCTTTTATAAGAATCATATTGTGTTCTTGATAATCCTTGTTTACCATGTGTCCTTGTTCATATTCAACAATTTTATTACTAGAAACACATCAGAAAGACAATTACTTTCAGACAGGTCCGTGCTTATGTGTGCTAGCACTTTTCTAATAATTGGTTTCTTTTAGCTTTTAGATAGTGTTTAATGACTGAGTTAAAACATAGTGTGAGTGTGAAGGCTACAATTTTATTTGTTATTGTCTATGCTCATAAGTCTATCAATTTATGTTATATTTCCAATATATGCATTACCTTTATTATGATACTGCTATGAATTCAGGTTTCGCTACTTGAAGAAATATAAAACCTAGAACAGATCTTCCTCATCTGCGTGAAAGATGCCCAGAGAAGCTCCACTACATTGGTGTCTCATTTTGGCTAACATTGAACCTTTTTCGCTTTTGTAGGAAGCATAAATTTGCTCCTTTCTACATTGGCCAGATTCCAGTTAAGCTATGCTCAAAATCTTTAACTTGTTATTTGTGTAAAAGAAATGAACTGGGGAGCAAATAATTTTCTCCAATGGTCATTTATGACTTGGTTTTGCTCAAAATAGGGTTTTGTGACTGGCTCACCGTCTCATCGCCAAGGATTTTCCACCAAGGTCGGTCTAACATGAAAGGTACTTTTAACTGATGAGAATATTTTGTTGTAAGCTATCTGATAACATAATTCATTGTATGTGTGGGACTTAGAATCCTACTCAAAAACTTTTTTTAAATAAAAATAGCTTTGTATGTTTCTTTCAGGTTATTACTTTATTTTTTATTTTTTAATTTTTTTGGGTAGACTATTTTTTGTAAAAACAAACTTGTATCTACCGTAGGACATTTCCATGCGGTCATTGCAACTTGTTCTTCCTCCTCAATATAGGAACTGTATAACATTTCACTAGAAAGGGAGCGAAAACGAGCACTGTCCATGGTTTACTTTAGAAGGGCCAAATGCACTTTTCTTTTTTACTACATGTCATTTATATTTTTTTTAACTCTTTTTATAGTATCATATAAGAACATCCATCTTTTCATTTGAGTTTAGACAAGAGTGCAAGATTTCCTCAGTTGTATTAGGATGATGTCTCTTTAAAGAGATTAAAGCAAGAATAATATATATCTTGCATAGGTTAATAATAGAGAGGTGCAATTGACCTGTTCCTTTCTAATCCAATAAGGAATCAAAATCAAGGGTTATGATACAGGATATTATATGTTCAAATAAAAATATTATTATATGTAACTACATAATATCATAGTTTCTGTGCCCTGATTTGTTATTGGGAATGTTCTCTCTCTCAGGCAGGAGTTATTGAAGATATAGTAAATGATGTTGTTGACTCAGCACTAGATTTGCAAGACATAGAAGATGAGATAGAAGAATAAGTTGATAAATTTTTAACTGCAATAGCTGGTGAGACAACTACACAACTTCCTAAAGTTGTGTGGAAAGAAAGGGTGAAGCAACCCCTATGGATAGAATTGACCTTATTAGCAAGTGCAGTGTCTTCCCTTCCATCTCTTACGACTTGAAAAGCACATATCTGAATTTTTGATTATACTTTGTTTAATGGATAGAATTGACCTTTTACTTGATCAAACACATTATCTGACTGCAGTTGCTCTGCTACAGGGAATAGATGTTAGAAGACACTTCATTGAAGCATTGGCCTGTCAGCTTGGAAGGCAAGTTGAAGTCGTTCCTGTATCTGCCCTTGACACTTATTCTCAAATTGCTAGGATTACTTGGCTTTAATATTAATTGTTAATTTTTGACTTCTCTGTTTCTAGGACATGATTAAATGTATGGAGTTTCATCCATTTTTTAGTGATAAGACATGATTAAATGTATGTCTTGTTAGCAAGCAATATTGTCTATGTCTTGTATGTTGCAATAAATGTTGTTTTCGTTAAATTTCAGCAAATAAAAAAGTAGCCACAATATAGTGTGGCTATTTTTTTTAATTTTTTTTAATTATTTTAGCCACATTTGAACCGTGCCAAATATAACTTTAATTGTAGCTAAATATATGCTACCACACTGAATCAGAATGTGGCTAAGTAAAACAAATAATGTGGTTAAAAGATTGCTACGCCATGATTAGCCACATTTACAAAAAGTGTGGTAGCTTTTGTTTGCCACATTTTTTATGTGATTTAGCCACATTTCTGAATGTGGCTAAAAAGCGTTTTTTTGTAGTGCTTGGATCATGTGTTTTCTTAAAATGTGGCCATATTATAAGAATTAATCCTTAGCCTGAGAGTCATTTTCAAATAACCTGTTTTCCTTTTCTCTTTTAAATTAAAATTTTACAATTGGTTTTGCCAAAGTGGGAGAATGTTAGAATTTTTTATAATAATTGTGGGTTTCAATCAATTGTAGTTTTTCTTGTTTTTAATAAAATCGGGTTAAGTCATGATACATATAGGGGTGCAGTATATAGCCCAGTTAATTAGTGATTTTTTTGATTTGGGCTTGGATATCTGTAAACTGATTAGTGTGGGTAACAGTGTAGGCCTAACTCATAGGCCCATGATGGGAAGGGGACTAGGGTTAATAAGTTGGCTAGGTCCCCTCTGCATTCATAACAAGTTGGAAAACCTTCACTCCACAACTCGCCCCATCGACGGTTGTGATCATGGAGTGATGTGAATTGCAGAGGAAGATCCTGGTCTTTCCATTGCAGGAGCATCAAAGGAAACAAGAAGCCTTCAAGAAATCAAGAATCATGTCTTCAACAAGTAAGCCTAAATCTTTTCGTGTTCTAATGTCATATAATCCTATTTTATAAAATTTCTTACAGCGGAGTGTATGAAGTCGTTAATGGATGTTGAATCCCAATCTCCTCACAGAGTCAATTGAATGATTCAGATGTGTACTTATTGCCATTGTCTGTTTATGAGTTTAAATTCCACACCCATTCACATTCACAATATATACAAGTAAAATCATCAATAAATGGGACATAATAAAGAAGACTACCTTTCGAAGAAGGCATATTTTGTGGGCCTGCGACGTCTATATGAATTAATTATGGCTTCTTTGATGCCCTCCATATTACTTTGGGAAATGTTATCCTATTTGTTTTGGGAAAAACGAATATAATGTAACATGATATAAGAAATTTTATCTACTGACCTATTGGTTTCGCACCAGCCTTTTTAATTTTTAATTTTTTTTACATGTATGGGACCCACAAACATTTTTGTTTGGGCAGGAAATTTATTTTTTATTCCTATTACATGATGTTAGCTTTACCCTTTTGTTTTTGAGATTGACATGTTTTTCAGCTTGGAATGTAATCATTAAGCTCTGGAAAGATCGTTTCCCATCATTTTAGATTGCATCTACTATAGTCTCTTATGATGATAGTGCCTGATCCTTTTGTGCCAAAGCTTTGTGATATATTTTGCGCAGTGAATATGCGCTTCCTAATACAAATTTGGTAAAAAAAAAATTTCCTTGCCAAAAGTCAAACAACAGTTTGAAGAAGGAAATAAAATTCGAAACTATGGGATATTTAAGTGTGATGAGTCCCACATTGGTTGGTAATGGACTAAGTCAAGTGTAATTAGTGGGAGGACCCATGAACCCAATATTTTAAGGTTTGGGTTGAGATGTGGTGTTAGATCCACTTGGTGTGTCTAGTCCTGGTTATTGGCTAGAGGTGGGTTGAGTATCTGGGCCCTGTATACTTAGTTGAGGAGGGGAACTATAGTGGGTAGGGGTGTGCAAAATAACCAAAAAACTGAACCGAACCATGAACTGAATCGAATCGCCCTTAAAATAACCAGATTTTAAAAACCAGTTCATGAACCGAACTGGTTTTTAAAGAACCAGTTCATGAACCAAACCGGTTTTTAGAACCAGTTTAAGAACCAAACCATTTTGAACCGAACCAAACCGTTTCTGAATCGAACCGAACCGTTTTTAAACCGAACCAAATTGATTTTTATAACTTTATTTTTTAAATTTTTAAATTTTTTTCTTTACAAAAGAGGGTCGACTCGAACCGGTTTCGAACCGAACTGAACCGTTTCCAACCGAACCGAACCACTTCTGAATCGAACCAGTTTTAAACCGAACTGAACCATTTAAACCAATTCAATTCAGTTTTTCAAAAACTTCGGTTCTGTTCGACCCATGCACATCCCTAATAGTGGGTTAGTTGTGGGGAAGCATAGCGGGCTCCTCCCTAGACATGCCTGACTGGGATACTTTAGGGAGAAATTGTTGGGTTATTTAAGTGTGATGTGTCCCACATTGGTTGTATTGGGCTAAGTGAAATGGATATACGTGGAGGGACCCATGAACTCAATGCTTTAAGATTTTTGTTGTGATATAGTGTCGGACCCACTTGATATGTTGGTCTAGCCTTAGCCTATTAGTGATGTTCCCCAGTTACGGGATCCTCCGAAACTTGCCTGATAGAAACAAACATATTATTAGTAGTCTTGTCTTCTTCATTTTTTGCTAGTTCAATTAAGAAATGTAGACAATATAACCCCACCTCCAACTAAAACTCAATGGTTATGTTAGAGTAGTATATAAACTATTGATGAGCTTTCATTTAACAACTTAAACTTTTGGTTTGAAATGATTCTTTACATGGTATCAGAGCCTTAGGGGGTGTATTGGATTAGGATTTTAAAATACTTTTTTGAGCTAAAAAATCTTATAAATTTTAAAAGACTATTTAGAATTGGAGAGACTTTAAAGACTTTTTTAAAAGACTTTTTTTACAATCAAGATTTCATAAGATTGGATTTTAAAGGATTTTAATAGAATTTATAAGATTTGAAAGGACAATATGGATTTATAAGATTTTAAAAAACCATATGAGTTTTTAACAAACATTCAAAATTACAAGAGTCAATAAAAAAGAGAAAGGTTATACTTACAACTTATTTTTGTTTACAATATTTTACAATCATATCTTAACCGTTGATTTTCGTCAATCAACGGTTATCATTCATTGCAAATTAAATATTAATTAATGAGTTTGATTTGCAAAAATAATAACCATTGATTGAAGAAAATCAACGGTTAAGATATGGTTATAAAAAGTTGTAAACAAAAATAGGTTGTAAGTATAATCTTCCCCATAAAAAAAATTACAAAGAAATACAATGAAATTAATAAAGAAAAAGTAAAACCTAATATAATTTTTAACAAACATTCAAAATTACTAAACAACAGCTTTTCACATATCTAATGGGTTAAAAATTATCTTCTTCATTTGGTATCAAAGCTATCCATATATGATTATAATTTATAAGTCCCAAATTTTTTAAATTATAAAAATAATTCTAATAGAACCTAAAGTTCATGATAAAATTTCATTTGGAATTTTTTGCAATTGATCTTAAAAATCTTGGGGTTTTTTATTTTATGTGATATTAGTTTTCTAACCATATATCATATGAATATTTTCATTTAATATTCTAAGAAAATTTCGAATATGAAATTTTGGGTTTAATTACATGAGAGTTTAGAAAATTTCTCAAATTTTTTTCAATCGATACATTGAAACCTTAAATTGCTTTGGGGCTTTTGAGAAACAAGCTTTTACTTATCTATTGACACAAAAATTGTTTGAAATCGTTTCCTATAGTGAAGGAATTTCGTTCATGAATGTATTGTTACGAAATATAGGGTTCATATTATGAAAGTTTCAATTTTTCTTTAAATTGATATTATTTCATTGATGTGAAATGAAAATTGGTTTGAGGGTTTTAATTCTCCTGTTATTTTTTTCACTGTTTTATGTTATTTTTAATACAAAAATCACACGTTTTTGTGCCAAGAAAAATCGCGACCCATAGCTTAAAAATTCACTTTTTAAACTTCCAAATTTCTCAAAAATGGCTAAAAAATATGTTATTTTTGAGATAGATTATATTAAAATCTCATTGGTTTGTTGTTTCTGAGTAATTTTGTGATGAAAATCGCTCAAAAATATGTTTTTTTAGTTTTGACGAAGCTCCCATGGCGGAACCCAATTTTGAGCCGTCAACCTGCCAAAGGAAAAAGAAAATACTGCAATAGAAGAATTTCAAGAAATCTAGGGGATAGGGTGAGATTGTGAGAGAGACATCCTATTTATATTTTTCACTAAAAAGTCTCACGAAATCCACATCAATAGAAAATCCATTAAAATCGTCGGATTTTGGAATACCACAAGGTTGTGATTCCATTGTTTAAAATCCTGTTGAATACTAACAGATTTGGACTGATTCTAAAATAATCCTTTAAAATCTTAATCAAATACCACGTGAATTTATTTTAATCCATTAAAATCCTAATCGAATACCAACGGATTTTTTTGTCAAAAAATATCCATTGAAATCTCAATACAATACACCCTTAGTGTCACAAGTTCGATCCTTACCGCTCTCACTTTCTCTTATGAAATTTATTAGCTCATGTTGGTGGACCTGTGCATTATCCACCCTTCATGCCAAGTGGGCTCTCATACGAAGGGTCGTGTTAGAGAAATATATAAATCATTAATGAACCTTTACTTAAAGTGCTTAAACTTTTTGATTGAATTAGTTCGTTACACGTTAATTACATTCAACCCTTTAGTTTTGTTACACATAAAAATTCCCTTGGGGGGGGGGGGGGGGGGGGTTTGTTAAGGAGATATTTTTTTATATCGAAAAAAAAGATTTTCGAGAATATAGTTGGAATTTTTTTTCGAG